AGCTGTCCATTTAATGTACATCAGATTAATTTTGCTACCTGTTTCCTTATTTTTGTTCCCGATCAACTCTGCGATGGCGGCCTCGACTTGACTGATCCAAGGACAACGCCATGCCATAGGATGGTAGCAAAATGGGCTAAATGCTTTGGATTTTGTATATCGTCGAACAAATCAAACATCTTCTACGGTAGCCCTAATGCTCGTCGGCAGCCTAAGAAAGACATAACCATCGATCGGATTCCAGTTCCAAAAACAAAGCAGCTTAAAGTTTTGGGAGTCACACTGAATCGGACCTTCAACTTCAAAGCTCACTGTACCCTGACTGATAAAAACTGCACCGCGCGACTACGAATCCTGACAATGGTTGGAGCAAAGTTACCTCGAGGAGCACGTCGTTCACTGTTGCATGTAGGATCTGCGATCATCACGTTACGCCTCCTCTACGGAATGGGATTAGTCAGCAAATGAAGATACATGATTAAAATACTACCCTCAACCTACAACCGGATGGTCAGACTCGCATCCGGAGTTTTCGTCGCCAGCCCCACGCTCGCTATCATGGCCGAGGCTGGCGTGTTACCGTTCGACTTGCTGGTCCTATAGTCGTCTATTCGACTTCTGGAGATAACTAGCGATGCTTCAGAGTACAGACTGCGAATGCAATGTTCCAAAACCAACGATCATCTGGGATGTCAAAACGTTTACTAGGGCTGGGGACCCCCCAGAAAAAGTCCGTCCTATAGTACAAGAGGTAACCAAGCGACTTTTTCAAGGACGTACCCTGCTACACACTGACGGATCCACTGAGGTCTTTTCGGAATAGGCGTCACCAAATCCGACGCCTAACGGACTCTGCCAGCTGTTTATCTGCGCTGGAGACGGGTAGATTCAAACACCCATGGATCCAACATATCAGACCGTCCGCTGGTGATGTTAGAAACAACGTTCCATTTGATACCCAAATACCAGCCATGGACGCGATAACGGAAGTCAAACGTGCTATACGACAACGATGGGACCATCTTTGGCATACATCACGGGATTTTAAGCTCCGTGAGATTAAGTTTACCACTAATCCATGGAATGACACCAAAAATCCAGTAGACCAACGGATCCTAACCCGGTTAAGGATCGGACATACCAGACTTACACACGAGTGCCTGATCAAAAGAACAGACCCACCCGTATGTGAATGCTGCGGCACCGTTATCAAGGTTCGTCATACTTTGCTGGACTGCAGGAAATATCATGATGCTTGTGCAAAATACAACATTCAAGAGCCACATGTGAAAAGGGCATACACGCTTTTGGTAAACAAACCATTGTAGTCCCTTTTCTCGCCAACCGAGGATCCCTCACGCAAACCAACAACATCATCAGGAAGAGGAAAACTTCCCCTATCCGGTGATGTTGATGGTTTGCGTTGGTGTCATATGGGTGGCGAGAAAAGGGCATAAGAAAGTTTGTTTACAAAAAGCATTTATGACCTTTTCACATGTTGTTCTTGCATTGACCCTTCTTGTCTGCAAATAGTACTTCGCAACGAGGAGGAAGAAGAGAAAAAACTAATAGCCTTCCCTAAAGATACCAATTTGTACAATACATTGCAATTACTTATTTAGATACGTGAATGCACCATTGGATGTAAAGTGTACATAATTAAAAATATATAATTGTTCTGCAATTGTGTTCTTTTTATATTGTTCCTCGTATTTCGAAAAGATATGGGGTTTTTACGCCTATTTGCGCAAATATTTTCCACTGTTGCAGGACGACAAATTTAAGGGAAATTACCATGATGCGTTAAACAACTTCAGAATAAATATTCGAAACGAGAATATTTCGGAGGCATGGGATTCTCTTGTGACAAAGCTAAAGCAGGCAGCTAATAATACCATATCTGAATTGCATAAAATACCGTTGTCACCTACTCGTAGAAAAGCAATGGCGGAGGTCAAGAAGTGGTCTTTTAGAAACAAAATGCATCCGTACAGCCAGAATGTAGCAAAACAGTTGAAGGATGCTAAGACTAATTTTTCACAGATGTGTAGGAAAAAAGAAGAAAATGATCAAAGGCTATTTTTTGAAAATCTGAAAAGTTTTAAGCTTGGTGAACGAATTAGCAGAGCTCATCATTACATGAAAAAACATAGAAAAAACATAATAGGATACGGAAACCAAACATATCTATGCGGAAGTAGAAAATTGGAGAAGACGGTGATTTGTTGTTGCCGGAAAAAAATCAATGTGATGGATTCAGATTCCTGTAACGTACCTGATATTGAAGACTTGGATATCATAATTAGGGAAAGCAAAAATGGCAAAGCACCAGGATTGGATAACGTTAACGCAGAGCTGATTAAATATGCAAACTCAAATACAATCACCGAGTTCAAAGAAGTTCTCCAACGGGTATGGGATGAGAATGAGCTGCCAGCTCATTGGAGGCATTCATTATTAGTTCCAATACCAAAATCTGCATATCCTAAGGATGAAAATGACTACCGCAGAATTTGTTTGAGCAGCGCAGGATATAAAATGTATGCTTCCTGGATACTAAAAGAACTAATTCGATGCACAGACCCAATCGGCCATCATCAGGCAGCATTCATACACGGGCGATCAACAATGGATCATCTTTTTGTTGTAAAACGAGTGTTAGAAGAAAAGTGGAATGCGGGAGATGATTTGGTGCTGATGTCTCTCGACATCAGCAAAGCGTTCGACAAAATTTCCTTAAAAGATCTCCCAAGGATCTTGCAACAGAAAGGAGCTCCAAAAGGGTTAATAGCCAGAATTGTTGAATGCGTCCGGGAGGAAACATACCAAACGCTTTGGGATGGACAAAAATCTGCACAGGAGAATCGTAGAATGGGCATAAAGCAAGGATGTCCATTGTCACCGTATTTGTTTGATTTAATCATGGAAGAGGTCCTCAGAAAGACGGAAGCAGATTTACATGGTTTCTTCGTGTTGGATCAGGTACACAATATTCGATACCCCATCATTTTAGTGTACGCAGACGACATTTTGATTATTGGATGTAGTAAAGAACAGCTGAACATAATCATTCCGGTGCTGAAGAAACATCTTGAGGAGGTAAACCTGTTCTTAAATCCCATAAAAACCAAAATAGTTGTTAGGGCACCTAGAGGAGAAGCACCAACATCGTTAGTTGTTGATGGTTGTACTTACATGGTTGCAAAGGAACTCAGCTACCTAGGAGTGACCATAACTGATAGATTACACCGCCTCAAATCTATTAAAGCACGCTGTAAGAAAGCCATTAAATCCTCTAAGGCTGTTATTGCATTCGCGAAAGAGAACAGGCCAAGTGTGGAGATTGGAAACTTACTGTATGACACCATCATTTCTCCTACAATGACGTTTGGAACCCAAGTTTCAGTCATCACCAAACACACTCGCACGTCCATGCGAAAATACGAGAGACAAATAGTAGCGGAACTGGCGAGCTGTTGTACTATGGACGGAGAAAGGCCAAATGGGAATCATATTCTACGAGGGAAAACCGTGACCAAAAAAATTCGAGCCCTTCAAATGAGATTTTGGAGCCATATTATCAGAATGGAGGATAATCATCTGCTGAAACTAGCTGCTAAATATAAAAAGCATTATAGAAAGATAGGACGACCATCATTCACTTGGTTTGATATAATTCGACAAAATGTTGAAAGATTTGGGGATCTAAGCGTGGAAGAATGGGAGGATCTGGCCAGAGACAGAGAGAAAGTGACAAACAAAATCGAGGAGATATATGCTATTGATGAGTCAGTTGATTCAGATGAGCAGTAAAGTTAGATGATTAAGGCATACAATATAATATTCTATCTCTTTATTGTCTTATTAATAAAGTTTATTTCAATAATGATGGTAATACTTGATAGATTCGCACCATTTTTATTTAAAAGTTACGTTTGCTCTGAACCCATCGATTCAGTCATTTTAAACTCAGTTGAAGAAAAAGAATGAACGGGTGTATGAAAGGAAATGACTTCAATATATTAAAAAGGTAAGCATATAATTGATTGTATTTATATAAATTATTTATCTCATGTTTATACTGCTTTATATTGTCGAATAGAGCATCCTTATATCCCCCTTCCCCTACTAACAAGATTTCCATTTCCTGTAACGTCTATGAAGGTAGTATGGGTTCCCTGCACCTTCTTAAGTAGATGTTGAACTAACATTCCTACCTTTCCCCTGCGATTGTAAGGACGTAGCCAGGTATACAATGCGAGGTTTGTTTTGCAGATTGCATGGTATGGGAAAAGGATATTAATCCCAAGTATCCTTTTTGCGACAACATATTATGTTTTTGCGGAATATATGAGCTGATCATTATATATCCACCTACGATTTGTGCAATCGCATATGCTATGCTATGCTATGCTATTTGCGCAAATATTTTCCAAATAGGCTTTTCCCCATCAATTTTCATTTAGACATCAAAAGTCCGATGAAGAGAATCATAAATAAATAAATAAATAAACAAATTGAAAACATTGGCGACGTTTTGTCAGACGCATACTGTATCGATATTTTGATATATCGGAACGTCCCTACTGACTACTTAGGCTATCTGGGGCCCCATTCTAATTGCTTATTGAATGTAATTGTGAACGAAATAGTAAGCTTATTACTCATAACGAATATATGTTGTCTCCGGACTAATACGAACTCGTCTAATTGCAAAAACTATATTCAATTATAAGTTAAAGGTAAGATAACACAGTTGACAGTAGTTTCGTCTGCGATCGATTATTTTTTGAGCTATGATAAAAACGCAAATGATGATTGCTTATTGAGCCCAGACAACGGACATACATATATAATCCTTTATGAATATGAAAGAATCCCCAAAGGTATCTGAATATTTTTACTCTTAATGTTAAAGACTGTTTCAGGATTGTTGTTTGGTAGGTACTTAATGTAAGGTTTTCAAGAACTTTTTTTTTTAAATTCCCTTTAAAACTCACCTCTGCTTCCGCTTCAGACCGCACACAAATGCAGGCCGCTCGTCGTCGGTATCCATCCTTATCGTAGATTCGAGTTGAGTTCGGTTTTTCCTTGACCATCTTGTCTCAGTAAAATGACCTCTGCCGCTGCTTGCCGAATGATTTAGCTCCTCCTGATTAACCCTACTGTAGCTATATGACAATCACTGTTCGCGTAATCAATACGTCGGTGGACTGGACCGTGAGTTGTGAGTTTTTGTTGACCCTGCAGAAAGGTCAATCACCTTAAAACACAATAAACTACACAGCTATGCTCGGGGCATGGACAGTTAGTAACCACCGAAATTTCTATATTCTCTGTTGGTTCACCGGAAGGATCCGACGCACATGCAATTTCTCTACTGGTTATTGGAGGACACAAACTAATAATTGTTAACTGGCACTACACTCCCTCGTTGTCTAAGCACTGCGAATAAAAATGGGAAACATAGTTCTATTAATTATAGGACATTCCTGGTATGGTTTTGCGATCAATATTTCCTCCTTCACTATCGTGTGTTTTAAGAGATTTGCCGAATCGGTTTGAATCAATGAAAAAAAAAATGTTGTCGACGGTGACCCATTCCCGAAGGTAATCGAATGTGAGAAGTGGGTGGCAACATACTAGACAAGATTTTAATCACATGTAGCAGCTTGAATGTTCGGACGGCGAGGGGGATATTAGTGATGCTATCAAATCGATACAGATATCCAGATGATCTTAGTTTGTAGTATTTTTACTTTCTTCAGTAAATCGATATTCGCAAACGAGTGGCGGCGACAGGTGGCGAGCTGTAGATTATATATCGACCCAAGATTGAACGTGTTGCTTCCGATTTAGGAGTAATGACCCATGTGTAGTGTGTAGTGGAAACATACACATGCTACGAGTATTTTTGGTTGCCTTATACACTGACGATAATCCTATATCCCAGAATTTATGGGTTTTCGTTGGAAACACGATATACTGGTAGAATTCAATACTTAATTCAATCGAATCTATGCCGTATGAAAATAATGTAAAATTTTCATGATCGTAGATTCCATAGCTCACTTATGAGACAAAAATTAAAAGAACATTTTAATGAATGGATGTTTATGGAGTAGCTGAAAACCTCTTTACTAAAGAAAAGTAACTAACTGCTTATGGAGTAAAGAATGCATACATGCAACATAACAAAGTTATATGTTTAGATCCTTTTAGAACCACAGATTTTCAAACTGATTGATTTCTTTAAAAGCATTTGCTCCAACACGTAATTTCATTAGGTGTGTGGGCTTGGGTGTTTTTATATTCTCCGCAGCTGTACCATATATATAGCTGTACCATCTACCTAAATCGTCCCATTTAATTGTTTAGTTTATTTTCCTTTGACATGATTTAATTTACGTGAAGTTTAAGTATCAAACTAGCATGATTGATGAATTACAAAACTACAAATGATTCGCATACCAAGAAGATTTTGTAGAATTATCACTGCACTAAACTTGCTACTAGCGACAGTATTCATGTTGTTTGTCCTCTGTTTAATTTTCTTTGTGTTTCGTTTAAAATCTCGTGCTCATATACATTCTGCATGCGTCATTGGCTCAAAATCCTATTTCGCTTACCTTATTATTGTTTTGCCTCTGGCACATTAAAAAGAGAAAAATGAAGTCCGCATGACACTCCTCCAACCTTTACGCAACACCATCATGCGGAAGATTTGCCGAATAATCCCGGCTGAATGAAATAGCCGAACGTAATTAATTTGCACATATGTTAGTACATTTTTGTGGATTCACTGTTTATATTGCATGGAATTATCATAGCTGAGTCACCAATTGATAACCGGCTTGTGTATACTTTGTCATTGGATTTTTCGCATTTTATAGCATCAATTTAGGTGACCGATATGCGTAAATTAAATCCAAACAATCATGATTGAATTGCAGCGTAGGAATCGAACTTGAAGCGACATCATTTTAACTGGTACAAAACATTGTTGATTATCGCAAATTGTGCTTCTACGACTTGTTCCTCTTGTTCTTATCTTCCGATGAAATGATTCGCAGCACACATATTCAGTCATGAAACAACCTTCAAATTTACCACCTCGTCTTTATCTTCAATTACATACTATGGGACAGAACCGTGCACCGAAGATTTGCACCTGTTGACCGGTTCGGCAAATACTCTTCGGAGACCACCAATCTAATCTGACTTACCACCTAGAAAGGATCTGCGTTCCTTTGGTCGCAGCACAAAGCAGCTAGCTACGGATCACAATCAGCGGACGATTTTTACTAATTTGGGCTGAATCCGGCAGAGCATCCATTTTGAAGGGTAACTTTGGGTTGAGAATTGCTTCTCTATGCGCGTTCTGTATCTCCACAACAGGTTCTCCTCAATGTACGTGGCGTGGCACCTGGTGTTGCCTACTCTACAGAGCAAAGATCCTCGAAATTATTGTACCCGTCGATTGTCCGGCTTGAGTTACCAACCACCAATCAGAGCAGAAGCTTTCTAACCGAGTTCACACTTCCGGGAGCTTCACTTTCAGTCACGAATTACACACTATATTCGCACACCGAGCACACTATCCTGAGGACCACTGAATCTTGCACCTAAAGATCAAATTCAAGCACTACTATTTCCGGTAAAAAGGAAAGTTTTCTGGCTTTTCCAGCACGAAGAGTAGTCGATTATTTCAGCGGTGGTGGAAAAGCACACACACAAAACGGGCGAAAGGCGAGACAACACCGTCTGTCCGTCGTTCCGTCGGTGTCTTTTCGTTCCGATCGGTTTGCTGTCAAGGTTTTGACAGCTGTCTTGTTTGACAGTTTGAATACACTGTAAATCGATTATGAGCGACTGCGCATGTTGTCGGATTCGTAGTCGGAGTTTCCGTGAGTACAGTGGAGGCTGGAAAGCTTTATAATGTGCATCTTTGTCTTAAATCCGAAGATCACCAAACCAAGCACGGAACAGTTGCGCGCCAGAGTCAATGTTATAGAGATTAGTGACGTTTAACGCGCGCACACTAGCGGGAGCAACGCCGTGTAAAGTTGTTTATTATTTTCCTCTGGCAACCTAAAAAATGTATGAAAGTAGATCTGTCAAAATGAGTTTGACATCGATTTGTTATGAATTTTCCTCGGATATTCACTAACACGCTCTCATATATCCTACCAATACAACCAGACGTGAAAACCTCTATAATAAGAGTCCCGCCAAAGCGCCCATTACACATAAAAATATATTGACAATAAATTGACATACTGACAATATTATTGAAAAGGCTATATTGAAGATGATGATTGATGCCAAGTATTGACGAAAAGTTGATTTTAATTTCTCTTTGTCAATATTCAGAATGTATTGATAAAAAACCGTCAATTCTGCCATCAATACTATCAATATTTGAATATTGACAACATTAATGGCAATATGTTAGAAGCCTTTTTACCTCAATGTATTAAAGTCAATATTACTTGTCTCAATTTCCCCACACAAGAAATATAGATCAGCAAAGAAAGTGTGTTTAAAGTTAATGTTTGCATTCGGGTCCAAACAGGAACGATTGCTGAACCTGTATGAGCTTGAGCTTGAGCTTGAGCTTGATTGACCGCCCACGGTTGCTACTCTGTTATTGCCAGATCAGCTGTAATTACACAGAGAACCAATAGACGATGCTTGGGACTAAACTGGTGATCTTAAATTACGCAATACCAGCGCCGGCCGCGCCCGAACACAGGTCAAGAAAGGAATGGGAAGGATTGTGTTGACATGACACTCGCTTTGATGGAAGCCGAGAACACCTCTGCACTTCCACGAGGAATCACTGGGATGTTGGATAAGAGGGTTGGGTTTGCAGCAGGGTTCGTTTTGGTAAACGATAAGCTGAATTGATTTCCTAACGATCATATAACGCGAAGGAGCTTGGGACTAAACCCATGGTCTTCTGCTCAGTAAGCAAAAACGTTTGCCACTAGGCAGACGAGCACCTTTTTAATCACCGAGTTGCTGTTATTACCATGTAGTCATATTAACAAATAAAACGATTGACGAATCTTGAATGTGGATGGGCCTGAGATTAGACTCATGATGTTCTGCTCAGTAAGCAAAAACGGTTGCTCTAAGGCCACCGAGCCCCTCATATCACATAATACCGTTGCTCAACTTTTTGTATCCATTCAAACCCGGAACCAACAACAACAACGAGTTTCGCAAAATACACGATACACAAGCGATTTTACCATAAATCTCTTTGATATGTAAGGACCTGGGACCGCGTTTTTCTGCTCAGTAAGCAGGCCACTGTAACCGACGATCTTTCAAATCCGAAAACTAAAAACTACGAAAAAGTACTTAGGCCTTCATTAAGTTCCACTTTCACGCGACGTTCAATGACAGGGTCCTATCCAGGATTACATCTGAAAAATCCAAATCTGGCCAACGCCCACCTAAACCTGTTCTAATCCACCTGAAATGACTAACGAATGGAAGACTTTGACTACCCAGCCATGCAATAGTCTCATTCCGTGCCTTATGGCAACTTGATGATTCTATTGCACTCATCTTTTGGCACCACCCAGGGGAGACTTGGTCCTGTACCCAATGCTTAACTTATCTCCATTCCACTCAGCTACTTGCAATTTCTTGTGATATAGTGGGCGGAATATTATTATATGAGACAATTCAATGCAGACGTCTTTCCAAATTTGGCAGATCGTCAGGTAATCGGTGAGTTAGTGAATTTCCCATTGCAGACGCCAACGAAATGATGTCATCGAGCTATCGATCAACTACCCTGGTTATCGCCTGGTACCTTATAGCACGATGCTAGGAGGCGAACCGGAAGAATCGATGAGCTACCTCCCCCAGAAACGATTGCTGAACCTGTATGTATTGAAAATACTAGGTACACACTGAATTCGTATCACCAAAGTCGGTAAATTTTGCCGGGTTTTTGAACAACTGAAAAAAATTGGAGAAATTTCAAATGTCCGTTACTCGAAGGAAATCAATCAAATCGACTAATTTGATTTGTATCATTAATTGGGGTTGATTTATATCATTAAATGGGGTAGGCCGTACATTTTTGGAAAAAATTTCCAAATTTTTCACTAGTTTTTTTTAATTTTTACCGAACAGTTCCGTAGTTCAAAAATTACCAAACAGCGGAGTCCTGGTTTAATGGACAGAAACCAATTTTCACCCCACATTTACATTTTAAATTAATTTTCAGGATTTTTAGAATAAATAGTGTTAAATAATGATCTATTTCAGGCCTATAATTATGTTCTCAGAATGATGTAAGAACTAGGTGATTAATTATAGCATCCAATTTTATTTTTGATATCACTGAACTCTCCTGTTTCGTTAGAACAATAATATTTAACTAATGTTACCCAAACATATAATGCTAAGTTTTATCATAATGATACACTAGTTTTATCGTGATGAAAATCCTCTTATGCTTTCTGGAAAATTACTATTGATGATTATTAAAGTCAACTAATCACCAGAAGACGTGCAAGAAAATATGTCATATAAACTGTATTAATGGCCACACATATAGTTTATTAATTAACATTGGATGTACCGTGAACGTGGGTTATTTTGCGTGAGCTGTAATTCCGCGGATTTGTCATTCAAATACCAAATTGGTTTACCAAATGTTGTAACTGTTTGACAGGACACAGAAAATACACAAGACAACAGATAACATGACATATGTACTCAACGTTTTGAGAGCTAGATCGACATGCAGAAACACGCATAAACACTTTCCAACACCCAAAAACACACAAGGAACACAATCAACACAGACACAAGGTGGCAGAGTGACTTACCCCCTGGGGAAAACTAAACTTTTTGTTCATTGTCTTCTAGTCTTTTTACATATTGTACTGTTAACAAATTCTATTGCTATTCTTATGGGAATTTTTATCAGCTACAACTTTGCAGAAAATCGTTTTTCAGCTAAACGTCAAATTAAACAATTATTAATTGTTTAAGAGATTGATAATCTTATGGCAAGATTAAGCAACTGTATTGTGGGCAACACTGTACTCTGCAGTGTGACATAGTAGCCATGATTTTTGTCCTCTATTCTACGTGCCATAAACACCAATGTTGCCTGCTGAACAGTTGATTGAGCATAATCATAAGACATCAGTGACTTGAATCATTAATATATTTTGTTCCTTACATTTGATCGAAAAGTGGTCTGGAACAAAGTTGTAGCTGGGAAAATTTTCAACAAGCTCAACTATCATTTTCTAAAGTAGAGTGAACTGGTGAATTTTGAAATAGATATGAACCGAAATTATGGTTTCTTCATAGTAATTCCCATATAAACTTCAAATGGTTTGTGCCAAGTCAGCTTCTTACTAAACGAGTTCAAATTTTGGGAGGCTAATCAGGGCCCAATTTGGAACCGTTTGAGCAGTGTGGAGCGGAAATTTCAAATTTTGCATCAGTCTAATGTGCAGTCTTCATCAGTGTCATTCCCACTAAAGAACTTATCAAAACCTAACCCCTTTAAGTACTCACCCCCTAGGTAAAAATGTCAGATCACAGGTATAAAAATGAAACTACAACGTGTGGAATCGGAACCTACCTAACTAAAAACCAAAGATTTAAGTAAACTAAACGAGAAAAATCGATACAAATCTCTAGTAAGGAAAATTCCCAAAGGCATTTGTAGTTTCATTTTTAAACTATATATATATTTATACTCACTGAGTGTTAAAGAGACTATAATTAAAAAAATAAACATCTGATTTTTAGAAATTTTGGAAAACCTAATAAAACAAACCAATAATGTTATGGGGCATCACGAAGGTTCACTCATTCTATCATTAAGTCAAATCTTGGTGTTCGAAACAAGAACTGAAGAAACTCGCGGACACTCGCTGGAAAATCGCGACTCCGCCGACACGGTAATCTTGTGGGCACCAAGAGAAGGCAAACGGACCAAGTCTTTCTTCCACCGAATAAACGTCTTCAGCACTTAGTTTTTAGAACTATTATTGTACGACCGATAGCAACGTGTGTACGTCCAGATCGGTGACCGGATGGAGATCAAGTGTCTTTTCTATGTATCCCGATCTCGGGAACTACCGTCTGCTACACTCTCGATGACTACCTACTATCCAGAGAGCCAGAGAAGCTGGTGTTGGTCTGCTATCACAGAATAGGCTATTGTGATAATCCCGAGGCACATGTCAAAGGCCGACATCGATTTACAGGTAATGCGAAATGGATTATATATAATTGACTTTAGGATTAGGATTTTAATATAAATACTTTTAAGTGCATGTATCTAGTGGTAAGTTTACTTTTAAGCAGTGGTATTTAAACAAATTTAGAATTAAGAATTTGACCTAAACGAACTTGTCGTGACCGGAAAGGGTTTCCAGCCTCGGCCACGGCTACACGAATTAGCGATGCAGCTCCCACCGGTGCGGTTACTTCTATTGCTGCTGCTGCTGTTTCTGCTGCTGCTGCTCGATTCATTACTCATCACTCATTATTCATTCAACACTAACTCTATCTACTACAGAACTAACTAACAAACCGGCCACCTTGAATTACATTTCAACATTCAACATTTATTCTTCGTCTTCACTTGAGACTGCGTCAATGGCCCTGTGGTGACCAGGATCGCCTGTTGGTCCTGTGGAATTTGCCGGTGCGACTGAGGGACCTGCGCATGGACCTGGAAGGAGCGCTGGATCAACCTCGATTGGAAGGATACACAGCTTGGAAATGTTTCTTCACGGTTCCGGATGGC